CTCCTCTAGTAATATATTCACTGAGAAAAATGGTGATGTGTTCAATACTTATTTTACCCGCTGTATGTCCATAAATGAGTTGTATGATGACGATTGCTCTGTGACCAAAGGCTGCAGGGATACTTCATGTTGTTTTTGGCCAAATAAGTCTCTTTTACTGAATACACGTCAGCTACTGCCTCCACTTCACCTCCATTTCTCTCAATAAAAAGCAAATTAGGACAACTTTCATTCAATTAGTGTGTTGTACAGTTGTTCTGTGAGCAGAAAAAAATTTTCCCCCCTGAGTTTTGACAAAATCTGTGCTTTTTTCTGTCAGTTTGCGTCCTTGGAGTTTTCCTTACAGCAAAGGGTGGGCAGTACTACGAATTTGATATTGATCTGATACCAAATAAACACTTGGCAAATATATTTGATACCAAAGTCAACATCAATGCTTTTTACTTGTAATGGGATGTTCATTACAGGTGCTGATTACATCCTAAGCTCATTTCCTAAAAATTTTTTACCAAGGTTTTCTCACTATTTGTTAATATCTTGACTGTGCAAAGTGAAAAATGACACAATAAGGGGAACGCTTAGACGAGTTCAATTTGTTAATAATGACTATACAATCATTTTTTTACACAAATTAAACAAATCATCAGTTACACTTGATTGTGGGTATTTAGTTTCCTATAACAAGCGTCAGAGTTAATGAGATAAAACCTGCGTCCGAATTTCAATTCACCTCAACTCAGATTACTTATAATAAGACAGAAAAACATTAGTTCTGATGTTAAACAACCAAATATTTAAATAAATAAATAAATTTTACTGGCACTTTTAGCTTAAGTTTTGGCAAATCAAAGAAATAAGAAAGAGGAGAAAAGTAATGTTAGTGTTCTACTACTTTACTTTTATCAAAGTGTGGGTCAACAGGAACTGCACGTCTTTTCTCGACTCTGGTCCACAATACACGTCACTCCAAACACATCAGCTTTTACCTGATGATGACTTCTTAAGGCACCCTCGAAGTAGAAAAACTGGCTCGCCTCCGATCAGTCAGTGAACTGTTGTCGGCTCGCTTACTGTTCATTGGTGAACAGGTGTTATTTTCAGGTAACTTTGTGTCTGCTTCAGTCCAAGCCAGAAAAATTTAAGCCGTGTCCAGTTTCTCCTTCAAAATAAAAGATCTCCCCATCGGGAGGTACAAAACACACTTGGAGGCTTGAAGCCTCGGTTTGGAACACTGACAGGCCTGTCGGGTCCCTGGCTGTAAAATCCCCCTAATTGGCTCGTGGGATTAGATTTTACAGCCCCAGGGCTGAGATTTCTCCGGAGAGAACCACAGCCTTCTTCCTTCTTTTTTAGTTAGGAAGTCAGAGTGTGCTCAAAGCTGTCCGGGTTAGTAATAAGAACGGACAAACTTTGGTTCCGCCCTCAGGCTTAGAGATGAGTCAGAGAAAGAAAGATACAGACTTGCCAGGCAGGCGCCAGTCAAGGTTAAATTCTGTGGTTGTTCAACAACATCATGATAACCTCTTTAGCTTTCTTCTGATAGACTAAGAGAAATCACTGCAAAACATTTATGGTGATTAACTATAACATTTCTGTTTTATAATCAGCTTTGAACCTTTTGTTAGTCCAGATAAATGAAAGATTTTCTCAAGAAAAAATCCACAATTATATTACTGTGTTCACAGTAAAATAAAAACAACGATTTACATAAAAACACATTGAAAACATTGTAATCAGATTCTCTGTGATTTTTTTATACCATTATAAA